TCCTCAGTATGATATAGATGCATTCATGCCTGTATTTAGCCATCTTCACATTATCAGAAATCAGTCTTTTTTTCTTTTTTGAGATGCAAGATCTAATTTTAATAATAAGTACTGTGGAGCGCTTCTCGCCATCATTAGTCATGGGGGTCTGCAAATTGCAGCTGTGAATGTGTCTCATGTGTGGCAATAATGCATACCTTAAACTATTTCCAAACAACAAATGGGCGGCGATCCAGGACCTTTACTCTACAGCATACAGAATATGCTGAATGCATTCTCAGGTGTTGCTTACAATGCAGCCTAAACAGTTTTAATGAATGAATGCTTATATGCCGTCACAACTGCAACACACTGTCCCTCTACATATCTATAAATAGTAATCAGTCAATGTTTACATTGATCATAACATGCTGTCGATAAAGCAGATTGCCAAACTAGTTCTAACTCCAGACTAGCAGCTGTTCATTTGACCTATTTACAGAGAAAAAGTGGAGACTGTTGTTCCAATGTGACTCCAGTTATTTATTGTCTTTGTTTTGCACAGGGGGGCATTAAGATAAATCTTTTTCTGTTCTCTCCAAAACACGATACTTGTGTGTCTGTGCATGCGCATGCTTGTTCTCCTAAGGCTTCTGTTAGTTACATTAATAGAAGTCACATTGTGCTTAACATCAATTTTGAGATCTCAACACTGGGCCTTTATCTGTTACACAACAACCCGCTGGGTATTTTCGGAGTGTACAGAAACTTTATAACGCAGGCAGACAGACTTATGTAATAGGAGCAACACAAGTCTGACACGGTCAGGGGTGCAAGGCATGGCAACACATTCCAGTCCAGCTTCATGTCCCAGTGCAACCAGCACAACTTACAAAATATGTTACAACACAAAAGTCATGCCAAGCGGAGAGAAGGCGCACCGAAAGATAACAAACAAATACGTGAATATTACTCTTGTTGACCTATCAAGCCTCATTCTAAAATGTGCTACGTCCACTTAGGAAAACAATTCTTTGCTGATTTTGACCAGATAATAATAATAATGATAATGATAAATGTCTTCGACGAACCTCTCTCTCTTATGTGTTTTAAATCAGGAGCACTGGCGCTCGTAGTGTTTTCCTGTTGTGGCAGCGACAGCCCCACTGGCCGTCAAATCTTTATGGAAATGGCCGATAATGGCAGCTCACACACTTACCCTCTCTCCTCTGGAATTCCCAACATCTCACTGTCATCAAGATAAATTGGCTGACTTGAAACTGACACTGCAGAAGTGTGGTGTTTGTGCGTGTGCGTGTGCGTGTGCGTGTGTGTGTGTGTGTGTGTGTGTGTGTCCAAGCCAAGTCTCCATTATGTCTGAATAGGATATCTCTCTTCTTACCTAGAATCTGCCTGTTTGCAAGAATGTCAAGCACCTGTGTGTGTGTGTGTGTGTGTGTGTGTGTGTGTCCTCTATTCGTTTTATGGCCTTTGTCACGCTTTGAGTACATTCACTGAAACTAAGATATGAGCAAATAGGTTTAGCTGCCCATTATTTCCCTAAAAGTTGCTCCTTCTTATTACACACCTGCACGACTGAATTGGCAGAAATTAATGCCAGTTTGTATATTTGCTCATTACTTTCAGTCTAATTAAGACAAGATGGATGGCAGCAATGTAACACAACAGAATTATATGGTTTTCTACATTTCTGCAATCATATACCATGTTTGCAGCGCTCTGTTTGCCCTTATCAGTCGGTTATTATTTATGCATTTTCTTCATCTGAACCCTGTGCCAAATTCATAAAACATTATTTGTCTCCAAACCTAATTTGCTTATCTCAGTAATTGGAAGCCTTCTGCCCACAGGTTACAGTACAGTCACAGAAGAAGAATGGAATTCATCTACTTTCTGTTTTGCTCTGATGTAAGCCATGTACTGACGGGGGACAAATTAAAGGAAAAACCAACATTAAGTGTCTCAGTAAGGTGTTGGGCCACCAGAACAGCCTCAATGCGCCTTGACACTGATTGTTCAAGTCCTTGAACTCTACTGGAGGGATGAGCACCATTCCTCCAAAACATATTCCCTCATTATAGTGTTTTGATGATAGTGGTGGAGAGCGCTGTCTTAACACATCAGCCTAGAATCTCCCATAGGTTTTCAATTGGGTTGAGATCTGGTGACCGTCAAGGTAACAACATATGAGTCACATCATTTTGATACTCATCAAAGTATTCAGTGACCCCCTAATGCCCTGTGGATGGGGGCACTGTCATCCTGGAAGAGACCACTCCCATCAGGTTAGAAATGTTTCATCATAGGATAAAGGTGATCACTTAGGTGATCACTTAGAACAACCATGTATTGATTTGCAGTGATCCTTCCATCTAAAGGGACAAGTGGACCCAAACTATCCCAACAACCCCCCCCCCCAAAAAAGATAACACCGAAGAGGTCAAGCATTGTACCATTCTCTTAATGTACGCCACACATGCACTCGCCCACTTGTGGAGAATATGCTGAAGGATGACTCATTTGATCATATCACTTTTTTTCCACATCTCTGTAGTGTAGTGCCCATGGTTATTTTCACCACTCAACTCTTAAATGTGCATTCATCTTTGTAATGATGGACTGTTGTTGCTGACACAGTCTGATCACGTCCTGCATTGACAGTCTCTCACCTGAGGAAGAGTTTCTCCTCTGTTTTTCCTTACATATCACACATAACTTGAGAGCATCACGGTCATCAGATGTGCACTGTCAACCACATTGTCCGATCCTATTTACCGACGTCTTTCCCATAGATCTAAATGCAGACGTCACTTTAGTCACTGTTCCTATTGAAACACAAACACTAGACCATTGAGTAGCCTTTGTGACTGAGGCTCCTGCCATCCAGGCCCCAACAATGAACTCTCTTTCGAAGTCACTTAGATCTTTTCCTCTTTCCTCTGCTCACCATTTTTATACTTGCCACAGAGCATGACTGGATGTTAATTGCTTCACTGTACCATGCAGTGTGTCTGTGTGGAAGCATCTGCATTCGTTTGCATGTTTCTCCACTTGTTTTCCTTTATTTGTCACTCATCTGTATATAACTGATCTAATTCAGCTCACCCATGGCGCCAACATCCTCCTCGTGTGCCAACAGCCTCCGAGCCTCAGTGCCAGCCCCATTGTTAATGCCACACCCTTTACTGATTGGTAATTATGGGGTATAGGAACCACAGTCTTTACTGCACGGGATTGATTTTTCGAGCTTTAACCCCGTAGATGGTGGTTATGCTGTGCTATGTATATGGTTTTCATGTTATAATGATATACATTTTTCTCACTTCAGTGCCTTACACCTTCTGTCGTAGCTGTGGATACCCTTGCAGGATTCCTTTATTTAGGGTTGAATTTCAGAGAATAGCGATTTACAGGAGGCACTTGTGGTTGCAGAAATATTTCAGTGTAAAGCCACTGTAGGTGTCATATTCTGTATACATGTGTGTAGGCCACCTGAACCTAACTTAACCCCCTGTCCTCTATCAAATACAGAACACACTTTATCAGGAGAGACATGAATGAAAGCATGAATATGAGTCTAGCAAACTAACCGCATTTACGTCTGTTCTGATGGCGCATTGTAAGTCACCAGCCACCACATGAGAGCATCTTGATCCGACAGACCTCTTATCAGTGTCGCACGCAGCTGCCTCTGTCAGTTACATTAACCCACACCTGGAGGGATACTGTGACATCACTCTTTTTTTTTTTCTTTTTTTTAATAACAGCTCCAGGTGAGGTAATACAGATTCAAACCTTCCATCAGTCAGTCAGGGAAGGAACTCTTCTCTACCCTGAGGTTATTAAAAGTTTTATGATGTTTGGCATTTAAGATAAAAATCTTTTAAAAACATGTCCCTTTATCTAATCTATAAATGGAAGTAGGGGCTATTGTGAAATGTCATTCTAATTATGGATGATAGTTTTATTTGCATTTTTTTTGGCATTACATTGCCAAAGGCACTGGATCATTTACCCCCCCCCCCCCCCCCCCCCCCACACACACACACACACACACAACCACACACACAAAAAAAAAAAAGTTGTTTTAAACAGTTTGCAGTATCATACAAAGCTACTCAAAGTCACAGCGTCGTGTGTTTTGCTTGTACAGATTGTAAATGAAATTGACTGCGCCATAATAGCGATTTAATTGGGTAGCCGAGGGACGGGGAAGACGTTTCCTCATTTGTGACAAGCGAAGACAACGCCGAACATTGTAAGAAAGAGAAAGAGAAACACACTACATCAAAGTTGTGTCACATAACTACATAATTATGGTGTCACTGTGTGTTATTACTGCGCCACATGAGCAGGTAGGAATTTAGTAATGGTGGTTTCCTCTTTATCTTGTCATGCGTGAACTGTTGACTTGCAGAGATTGTTTGTTTACAGGCCTGTGCTCTTGAGTGCTCGGGCGGAAATGAAGTGAGAAAGGAAATCCTCAAATCACCATGGACAAAATATAATGACAGACTTAAATAGCTAGGTTTTCTTTATGAATATAACTTTGTGTGACTGTGACCGTTCACCTAGTTCCCAAATCCATCATCCTCCATTCCCTCTCCGTCCTGTGTTTTGTCCTCCTCTCTGCTCTGTTGTTATCCCCCCCCTGGGCTCTAACCATCTCAGCCTTCCTCTCAATGCACTTAAGTCTTCATGACTCATTTGCCAGTCTAAATCACTCTCTTGCTACCTCCTGTTACTTTCTTCCATCACATTGTTGCTTTAACTGTCATTCTTGACAGTTAAACCGCCCCCTCGTTTCTCTTGTGACCCCTCAGTCTTTGAACATGGCTCCAACCTCCGATATTCTCAACCGCAACATTTCATCACCACTGGGTAGCCGTGTTACGCCTTCAACTCTCTCTCTCAGTTGTCCCAGGACTCATTCCTCTCTTCTTTTTTTTTTTCCCCCCTTTCACCCACCTCACTTTTCTTCTTCTTCTGTCTTTCTTTAGATGTGGCCCCCGCGGAGCAGGAGAAGCTCTTCATACAGAAGCTACGACAGTGCTGCGTTCTTTTCGACTTCCTGTCTGACCCGCTGAGCGACCTGAAATGGAAGGAAGTGAAGCGGGCGGCGTTAAGCGAAATGGTGGAGTACATCACCCACAACAGGAATGTCATCACAGAGCCCATCTACCCGGAGGTGGTGCACATGGTCAGTAGAGCTGGGGGTGGGGGGGTTATGTTTGCAGTTAAAGCTGAAGATGAGGGTGAAACTTGGGCTGAGAATAGGGGCAGGCTGTAGCTGCAGGACGGACAAATAGTGGGTTCGTGTCCCAGCTGATGTTTGTTTGTGATGTGAGGTTCTTTTTCCTCTTGGGGCTGGCTTTCTTAAAGTATGAAGTTACAGTCATCTATTCAATCACCTTTTATGAAATATGTTTTTATAAGTAAAAACTGCAAAAGATTTGCTTCACAAATTTGCAGCTTTGATTTGTCATATATATATATATATTTTTCTTTGTCATATATGTTAGTAAACCGAATATCTTTGGGTTTTGGCCTGAAGGTTGGAAAAAATAAGTGATTTGGTGATTTTGACTTGGGCTCTGGGAAATTATAGTGGGCATTTTTAATCAATTTCTGATATTTTATAGCCAAAACGATTGATTTTATCTCTAAATTGCCTGTAATTGTGAATGTGAGCCTGAGCAGTTGTTCATCTCTATATGTCAGTCCTGTGATCATCTGTCAACCTGTACAGGATGTACCCTGCCTGCAACCCTTAAGGGATAAGAGTCTAGCTAATGGATGGATGGATGAAGAAGAATGAAAATAATTATTAGTTGCAGCCCCAATCTGATCAGAAGTTTTTGTTTGCTTTCCTTTTTCTTTTTTTAAACTAGATGGTGAATAAGAAATTCTGGTGTTGCCATTTAGAATGAAGAAGGCTAAAGCCTCTGGGGAATTGGAAAAATTAATTTTTTAGGTCATTTATTTCTTTCAAAAGCTTAATAAAATAATTGGTAAGATTTAATGTATAGAAATGTGAATATTTTTCTACTCTCCAGTGCCAATTGATTCAACCTCCACTCTGTACATGAAAGCTTTTTTATTACAAGAGGGTCTTTCCCAGCAAAGGACTTTCCACTACATTTTTAGCAAAGCTACAATGGTTTGTTTGGAATCTGTGCTTTTACTTTTGATTTATGCCAACTAAACTCAAACAAATCTGAGCAAAACAATATTATCATGATGACATACACTTTGTTTATCATCACGATCTTTAGAGTGCAAAGATACAGAAATGGCGCTATAAACATGATGAAAACACTGACGTTTTAGAAAGCTACTCCTCCCTCGCCGCTATTATCTTTTCATCATCGAAAGCCAACAGCAGAATTGCTATAATCACGGTTATGACATTTCCATTTACAGGTTCTATTGTGGAGTTAATGCGCAGTCATCTCCACAGCCTGTTCTGGGTTAAAGTGCAGCACAGCCTGGACAGTCTATCTACCTTGTAGCTTGTCTTTTCAAACAAGGCTCCCAGTGTTTTAGTAGGCCACCTGCAGTGTCCCATGATCTGCCTGGCAGGGAACAGCAGCCCACAGGGGAGTCAGTTGACACTGTGAGAGACCAGAAACACAACACACTTGGATTATTGTGGGCCAAACCCTTGGAGGCCAGTTGCAAAGTTAACATTAACCTAAAAAAAAATTTTAAAAAGTGAACTTAGCAAACCTAAGATGGGACATTTCATAAACATTTAGACTTTTAACTAAAATTTTGTTAAATTTGTTCTAGACACTGTGGCAGTGGTGAATCAAGAAAAACCAAATGATGAAATGTGACACTAAAACACGTGCTCCTAATCGTTAAACACAAGTGGCCAGGAGCTGAATAAATTAGCTGTACTCCTCATATGATGCCAGCATTTATAATCAACCTTTAAGCAAACTTTCCACAAGCAAGTGCATCTAGTATATGACTGCCTCTGGCTTTGAACTGACTCCATGTGCTTCAGACTGTTTGGAGACTTGCCCCAAAGGAGGCTGTGCGGTATGTCCTGGGAAGAGAGATGCAGCTTTTACTTCATTTGCACAGATTGTTTTAAAACAGTGCAATGTTCAGGCAAAGTAGAGTGAAACTCAACAGGGTTTATGAGAAGAACTGAAGAATCAGCTTCCTTGAAAAGAGTCGAATTCAGTCAAACAGTTAAAAGAAGCAGTGGTTTGGTGTGGTTTCACTGTTAGTTTGACCATATGTCATAACGGTAAACATTTATTCACATGTGGGAAACTTCAGACAGGAAGTTCAGGTCTTGCTGTATGGTTTTCTTTTTTTTTTCTTTTATGAAAAACATTTTGTAACCTATCCTAACCTAACCTGGGTAGAGCCATTGGCTGTTTTTTTTTTTTTTTAAAACTTAAATTAAAAAGCATGAACTATGGCTCCGGGTTATTAAAACAAAAGGAAGTTGACATGAATAGCGCTCTGTTCGGGGCAATAAAAATTCAGGGTATCATTTTTGTTTCTCTTCTTCCAGTTTGCAGTGAATATGTTCAGGACATTGCCTCCATCGTCCAACCCTACTGGAGCCGAGTTTGATCCAGAAGAAGATGAGCCGACACTTGAAGCGGCATGGCCACACCTCCAGGTTGACATTTTAATCATTGAATCATTTGCAAAACAATGAGCAGTTTATAAATGGTTCTTCTCTGAGCATGGCTGAAAACATGCAATAAAAAGAAAAGAATTAACAGCCAGCAATCACCATGTAACTGCACACCCAGAACTGAAGTACACAAAACCTCTTGAAAATCGTCTACTTGATTACTAAACTACTTCTATGCACTCTTTAACTTCATTTTGCATGAATTCCTTCCCAGAATTCATTTTCATCCCTTTGTTTTTGTCTTGTGTGTTTCTGTTGCAGCTCGTCTATGAATTTTTCCTTAGGTTTTTAGAATCGCCCGACTTTCAGCCTAACATAGCGAAGAAATACATCGACCAGAAATTTGTTATGCAGGTAAGAAAAGAATATTTTGGCAAATTCTCAGACTGTATAACAGCAAAAAAATAAATAAATAAATAAATAAATTATAAGAAATTACAGTTTTTCATGGTGACTTTCATTGTGGTAACATTTCACTTTTCTTGGATTGCAGCTCCTAGAACTATTTGACAGCGAGGATCCCAGAGAGAGAGACTTCCTCAAAACCACCCTCCACAGGATCTATGGAAAGTTCCTGGGGCTGAGAGCGTACATCAGAAAACAGATCAATAACATTTTCTATAGGTCGGTGCAGTTCTCCCACTGCTCTGTTTGTTTTTAATCATGTATACAAAGAGGAATGGTCAACATCTGTTTTGCCACTAAAACCAGTTCCTGTTTGTTCTCACAGGTTTATCTATGAGACAGAGCACCATAATGGTATAGCTGAACTACTGGAAATACTTGGAAGGTACGAGCCTTTACTGAAGTTACAAGTTTTGTTGCATGCAGCTGTAATGTCTTTGTGGCTTTTATGCTACTTTTATATGATGGCCAGTGGTTCTTGTTCATTTCTACTGATGAAACAATCATCACACAGTAGAACAAACCATGAAACAGAATTCCATTTAATTTTGTTTTTAAATGTGAGCATTTCCTTAGTATTTTTTTTTTGTCATTCTTTACCAGCTATTTAATCATGCCACACTGTTTTCTAAATGTTCTGATAATTCCATTATCTTTTTATTTTACAGCATAATCAATGGATTTGCCTTACCACTAAAAGAAGAGCACAAAATTTTCCTGTTGAAGGTTTTATTGCCTCTGCACAAAGTCAAATCACTCAGTGTCTACCATCCACAGGTAAGTTTGTTGAGTGCAATGTTTTGTTTTTTTTGTTTTTTTAACTGTGGAGCTGTTTGGAAAGAGCGATATAGCACATACATTATTTACCTCGTGTATTTAAATATTCTTGTCCGGACCTGCTTTAAGTACACTCCTCCACTGCTGCAGGTTTTGTCAAAAACTGGTGTTGCGTGTTCCAGCCTGTCTGTGCCTCAGGCATCCCGTGTCCCCTGCTGTGTTACCTTTTAGTTTGCTTGTGTATAAATTCAAATACTTTGACAGTTTAACGATCTCTATTTGTTTGTGTTTTGCAGCTGGCTTACTGCGTGGTGCAGTTTTTGGAAAAGGACAGCACTCTAACTGAGCCGGTATGTCAGATAAAAATGTGGTAGAATAATTATCATTTCTTTGCTTAATACTTCTTGCTGAGATTCCTCCTTTTAGGCCCAAATATAATGTAATGTTTTGAAGCACATGTTTGGCTGTTTTTGGATTTGTCTTGCAAGATTATAAATTCCTACATTCATTTTCTTGGGTAGTTCTTTGTCTGATATTTACTTCCTTTTAGCCTAGAAGATTCTTTCTCTTTATCTTACCTGAACAGTTATTCAATATAATCATTATCCTTCTCCACCATCCCAACAGGTGGTAATGGCTCTACTAAAGTACTGGCCAAAGACTCACAGCCCCAAGGAAGTGATGTTCCTGAACGAACTGGAGGAGATCCTGGACGTCATCGAGCCCTCTGAGTTTGTTAAGGTGCAGGAGCCCCTGTTCAGACAGCTGGCTAAGTGTGTCTCCAGCCCCCACTTCCAGGTAAACGATGGGTATTCATAATATTTCAATCATTACTCAAGGAATTTTAAGTTATTCAAGCGCCTGACAGACTGAGGTATTTTGTCTATTGTTTCCTGTAGGTGGCGGAGAGAGCCCTGTACTACTGGAACAATGAATACATCATGAGTCTGATCAGTGACAACGCTGCAAAGATCCTGCCGATTATGTTCCCTGCTCTGTACCGCAACTCGAAGACTCACTGGAACAAGTAAGATACTAGAGTTGAGCATCTCCGCAAAGGCCGTGCTAATGTCCTTTTTAACGCACTGTATGTGCTTCACACTGCATTTAACACCAGTCTACCACAACACACACCCGACAAAATAGCTCGCATAGTGATATCTCAAGTGTGTGTAGATGTGTATATATATAGAAAGGGTTTGGTCACAGAATGTGAAAGCACTTCATCAGATGTATTTATCATAATGACTTTTTAAAAGGCTGCTTCACATAACCAACAATTCCTTTTTTATTACTGCACCTATTGCTGCAGATCAGCCTTTTATACACGTTTGAAGCAAGACTTGGAAAGAATAGTTCAATATTTCAACTCAAGCTGCTTCACATTAAAAATAAAATATGTGTCACAATCAAGAGTTCAAAGCTTTATATTTTTGTCAGTAACTGTCAGTCTTTGATAGTAATCGAGGTTTGATGCTGAGGGGCTAAACTGGCCATTACAGTAATACTTGCGTTTTTACAAATTTGACCTTTAACTAACTGTGTGTGTGTGTGTGTGTGTGTGTGTGTGTGTGTGTGTGTGTGTGTGTGTTCACAGGACCATCCACGGCCTCATCTACAATGCTCTGAAGCTTTTCATGGAGATGAATCAGAAGCTCTTTGATGATTGCACACAGCAGTTCAGGGCTGAGAAAAACAAGTAGGCAGCAGCAACACGGACAAGACTCTTCTCCCACTCAATTAAAGTCTTTTTTTAAACGTGATGTCTGAGTGACACATAATTGCAGTCGTTCCTTAAAGGCGGCAGCCGAATTGTTGTGTTGGATTTCACATTTAATCAGCGGAGTGGAACAGATTAATGACAGGAGGTTTTGGTGCTTTGTCCAACAGAGAGAAGGCAAAGTCAAAAGAACGTGAGGAGGCTTGGATCAAGATCGAGAACCTCGCCAAGTCAAATCCACAGGTGAACAGTGTGTGCAATTCTTTAAATTCATCTGCCCCACCCCACCCCACTACTAAAGTGTGTGTGAGTGTGTGTAGGACTATATAATATGAAGTAAGTGTCTTGCGCTTCCTGTTGCTCAATTGTAGTTCCTTTCCCATCTTGTCCTGTTAGGTTTGCTTAGATGTTTTGATGTAATGTTTTCCAAATTCCTCTCCTGGTAAGGATGGAAACATTTTGACGAGTGCTCTAAACATGTGCTTAGTTGTGGTGCATGGTATGACAGGATCCCTGAAAGTCTTTGACTCAAGAGTAACTTGCTTTTTATATTTCTCTGTCCCCTTCCTAAAACTGATTTTATCATTACACCGACTTTATTAAAGGACTAGTTCAACATTTCAGGAAATACACTTATTCACTTTGTTGCTGACTGTACGACGACCATCTTAATACCACTCTCATGTCTGTACAGTAAATACGAAACTACAGCTACCAACAAGGTTAGCTTAGCTTAGCACAAAGATTACTGCCTCTGTCCAAGCAAAAAAAAAAATGTAATTGGCAAAATGTCGAAGTATTCTTGTGCAACAAAAGTGACAACTGACGATCTCTTAACTTCATTTTAGAAACAAGTGGCTTTTTCATAATCACCACTTGCTCTAATTCCAAATAAATCAGCACTGATAATGTTTTTAGTCATTTCTAGTCCTACCTCAACTAAAGCATATTACCCTGACAACCACAGTAGATCAGTTCCTTATTTTAATTCATTCATTCAGAGCCTCTTGATTCATTCTACTTTGCATGCGACTGAAAGTCTTTTCTCCATCCCCTTTGTGTTTTTTTTTTGTTTCTGTTTCCCTTTCTTTTCAACATAGTTCTCTATGTATGTTGATTCCTCTGACCTCAATAGTCCTGTAGCAATGGAGACGGATGTCCCTTTGATAGAAGATGTTCAGAGGTTAAAAAAGACAGTTGAGGAGGGCGCGACTCAGGTAAACCTGACTTTCTCTCTGTCTCTGTTCATCTTTCCTCTTATAATCACTCCATACATTGATAAATTTGTGTATTACCAAAGCTTGCAAAGTCTTCTAACTGAAGCTATTTGCACTACAGGAATTATCACTTTATACAGTGTGTATTAAATATAGTCTGTTTTATTTTATTTTATGTATTTGTTTATTTATTTATGTTTATTTTTTGAAATTAATCTTAAGGGCTTAAAAATGCAGAAACAAACAAATCTGGACTAAACACTGGAATCAAGAGCTTTCTGTTTAGTGCGTTTACTTCCCCTTGCATGATGTATAAGTAGTAAGGAGGCCCAAGTGTTCAATATTATATACAAATATAAGTAATTGATAAATAAGTAAATGATAAGTAATACATGGTTAAAATATATATTAATGAACCAATAATCAATAATAATACTAATATGATACATTTTGATATCTAGGTTTATTATTCTGAAATGTTATTTCATTATTTCTATAACTGGTGACAACTGTCAGGAAACTGAAATAAAAAGTGACATTGTCCCCAAAATTCCATTACTAATTTAAAAAAAGATTTATAATAAAAATATTAAAATTCTATAGTAAAATAGCATTCGACTCCAATAAAACTAAGCAAGAATGAACGGTTGAGTTGTAATGATTTCCTATTATTATTTATTATTAAATAAGTAATTAATTAATTAATTTAGTTTATCATTATGTAAGATAATACACCTTTATTTGTATAATTATTCATCTCATCATGTGTTATTTTTTTCATATTGAACACTTTGGTGCTCCTAAGTGTAGCGCAGGACGTCTGATGTTGTGTATTTCATTTGAAGTTGTTGTTTTAATATTTTGGCCTCAGTACAGCATGCTTTAAACTCAGTCAGTCTTGGTTTTCCTCTTGTTAATTAGATTTTGATGTATGTAACTGAATTTTGCTCCAGCTGTTGTTGTGCTTCATTTCAAAGATAAGATCAGAACAGGGACAATTTGCCATGTTGACAGAAGATGATGACATGAAATGTTATAAATAAGCCTAAACGTCTTCCCGTCTTCCTTCTCCATTTGACAGTTGCAGCATGACCAGCGGAAAGAGCGGCCCATGGTGCGACGTAAATCTGAGTTGCCTCAGGATATCTACACCACAAAAGCCTTGGAGTCCCACCGCAGAGCTGAAGACATGTTGACCACCCACGATGGACTCTAGGTCCCGCCACCTGCCGGCTCTTGGTTCAACTGCCCCCTCTACCCTTGACAGCCATGGACATCCTCTTGGCCCAGGCGCCAGAACTACACTGGCGACCCACACTGGGCTCTCATCCCTCTTCCCACCATTTACCCAGAATCCTTAGTTCTCCTTCATTCCTACTGCCCCAGTGCAGAAGCCCTGTATCCACTTCCCTCAGATTTCTGCTTTCTCAGGTTTTTTTCTTTATTTGAAGAGGAGCGGGAGTGTGTTTATGTGTCTTTTTAGCCCTTGCCACATTCAGCGTGTTCTCCCATTGTTTTCCCTTTGGTTCCACTCACCTGGTTCCTTCATTCCTTTCTTCCAAACTTGTTCACAAAGGATCGGACATGGTTACATAGGAACTGACGGACTCACTGTCTAAGGATCGTCTCTTGGTCTCTGCTTGGTTTTCTTTTCTGTCAAAGGGAACAAAAACAGAACCTGTTGGTCAAATGAAAGACAAGACTTTCCTCTCATCTGTTGTATGTTTTCTTTATTTTTTTGCTCAATCTAACGGACATCTTATCAGTGCCAAGACTGTTGTGCTCTTTATGTTTGTTTTGTTTCATGTTTTTATCTGTGACTTTAACAGGGACACTTGCCTTTGTTTCTGGTCACTGGTGTTTGAATTTTTTTTTGTTTTAGTTTAGCACACTTAAGACCAAACTGAGGCCTGTCCTTAGCCTTGCAACGTCCAGGAAAGATGGCAAGGAAAGGGGAAGTTGTCCTGTGGACATCTGACACTTTCCATTTTATTGTTTTGTGCCATATGCCGCTCTTTTATATGCTTGCTTCCTTATGTTCATTGGCAATATTTGAAAACCAGACCATAGTGATGCCTAGACGGTTCAAACAATGGTACTCACTGTGTTTGAGTTTAGTAGATGAGGATGAACCTGAATGAAAGCTCTCTGTATTCGCTACCTAAGTTGCAGTATACTGGGCTTTATAACATGTATATAATGGCTACATGCCGAGTAGAAAGACTGAGAGCACGGCTGTGCAATGTTCAAGGTGAGTGTTGGGTTATATATATATATATGTACTTTAAAATGAACATGGATGATTATCTGTGTAAAGGAAATATAGTCAGATGATCTTTTTTTACTGTGAGAGGAGGCACAGATCTGTTTGTGTGTTTTAACACCTAAAAACTCCACTCACTGATGGTTTCTGGCAGCCATTACTAAGTTAGGACCTCTTCTCATTATGTTTCTTTTTAAAGAGCATGAAGGTATATTGGTATTGTTTGCTATAAAGATTTTAAAATCCTCATTATTAATTAAAAATAGGATTAATTTATTATCAAATGTGAGACCTGGCAACCTCAGTAGCTATTAACATTCTGGCACGATTAATATAGAAATAATTTGATGAGAGCTACCAAAAACCTTAAATTTAAATTTAAAGTGTGGCATGTTTTTGTTGCTACCATTCCTGAATTCAGTTAACTGGTTTGCGGGGTATGTATATTATACACTTCTCAGTGAGGAAGTTGTTTAAGGTTGGAAAATATCTTCCAGTCAGTACCATTGTTTAAACTGAGGAGGTCTGCTAGATTTCTTCATATTTGACGTGTTGTATTTCTTTGTCTTGTCTCTGGAGGTTAATAGCGTGGATGTCAGGTTTTGGATTCTTTTTTTCTTTTTTTTTTCTGGCCATTCAGAAAGCCCAGCGCTGAAACAGACTGGTATCAAATGGCCACAAAAATGCCAGATGCTGAAAATAAACTGACATTGTGACTTGGCTTGTTAACTGTATTAATACTGTATTTGCTTGAATGCAAAAAGATGTAAATTAAAACTACCATGTCAAACATGTACCTTTTACCCTGGAGGAATGCCATTCACCAAACCGATTTCTGTTGTTGAGGTCATTGCATTTATGAAACAGTCCTGCTTGCTGGGAGAGATGTTTTATGGATTTTATGAGTTTGAGTCAGAGATGTTAGAGGTTTATTTTAGTGCTGAAAACAACAAGTCATCCGTGTTAGCAAGAGATGATTTAAAAATGATTTGGTGGCTTGTTCTTTCTGCAGGATCTTTGCAGATCTTTTAATTTTAACATATTATTTCCAAAACATGATAACTTAAAGTGTCCTTTTGTATGTGACCTGTACTATATGATTCATTTAATATTGTATATATGATTTACCTTGTTTCATGTAGTGTTATATATCTAGATTAATTTTGTACAAATTGTCCCTCTGTACAGAATAAAACATCAATAGCAAGTAAAAGAAGTCAATCTGGCACATACCGTTTTATTTCTCCTGTTTTGGCTGTACTTCCAGTGACACAAGAATTTAGAAAATGTACTTATTTTTCTTATTAAAATCTGCAAAGTTTCCTCCCTCCTCTAAATAACTGAGAAAATGTTCAAGCCCGTTGTGTGCTCCTATCACTGTCTTTAGTGGTGTACAACTATATAGAATGAATAAAGAGATTATTTGAATATATATTTTCAACCATGCATCCATTTTGGCTTTAATTAACTGAAAGGGCACACATCTTAAACGTAAAATATATAAACAATTGAGTCTACTGTAACAAGGATTAAAGAAGCCTGTATTACTAGTAACATTTGGGCTACTGGAGACCCTGTGTTCTCTTTAACAGCCCACAAAACATACTTAACATGGTTTAACAATTTGATACTTTGACATTTCCTAATGTTATGCTCCATTGTTTAGGGTCTCACAGAGCTGGGTACAGAAGTAATGTGTCCTTTCATGGTTAAATACAACCGTTTTACATAGGTTATATATCAGTGTTTGCTGTTAACAGTAGTTGTTATGCATCAGTACACTCCAAAACATCAAATGAGTCAATCTGAATTTCTGTTACTGGAGTATTATGAGTTTCTTCATTAGAGGAGTCTCATCGACCCTAAACATAATGTAGGATAAAATATTTTACAGTCTTTGTCTGTGATAACTAACAAAAGGTATATGTACTTGCACTATGCATAGTCCATATAACATATAAAACATATAGAAAGACTACTTTTCCTTTTCCTTGATTTATATTTGTTTGAATAGCTGATTTTCAGCATTACCACTTGTAATATTTTTCTACATATTTGGGTTTTAATGAGTTAAAAATAAAAGCAAAGGTATTTAAAGGGAAAAAGTTCATTTTAATGTCAATAGTCAAAGGTTTAAAGTCAATAGTAAAGTCATTTTCAATAAAACAAGGGTTAACAATGACAAACAGAACTGGCATCTATCAAAATCATTCTGATTATACACTGTATGTCTTCACTTGGTTTGATATGTTGGTAATGTTAATGGCAGTGGACGGTTTTGAACACAAGGGGGAGCCAGATAGTTGGGAATGGACATTTAGTGGTTACCTTTAGTAGTTACTAACAGTAACTATCAGTAGTCAATTATACCAAGCAGAGAGTAACATCTGCAACTCCACCTGCAGATGTGGATGCAGCATTTATCCCACAGGCCACGTCAAGTATCTGAACTATGGATGCTTTGAAAAATAATCTGGAATCCAGTAATCAGCAACACAAAAATAATCCATATCTCAACCAAAACTCAGATTTACACAATAATCAGCCCCTCACATACACCGCAATGACAATGTCTGTCTCACTGGTTTTCCAGCAGCACCCTCACATGATGGATGCAACAGCAATGTGAACCATCAGCGTTTGCTAGTGAATAGTAACCGCAGAAAAACATCACCACGTTGTATTATTATTATCTGGAACTGCACCACTGACAAGTTAAGTTTGTTTAACATTTCATGACCAAATTGACAATTCTGTAACATCAACAATAACCAGTTTACCACATGAGGCTCAGTCTACTCCAACTGATTCATCCTGTAATCGTGCAGTACTACTGTGATGTACAACAGAATCAAATACTGAATACTTGTTTACATGTGACATACACTGAAGCAGAGCTGAAATGATTAGTCATCTAATCAACTGACAAAACATTGATAATCAATTCATTTTTCAAGCAAATATTCCAAACATTCTCAGATTTCAGCGACACATTAATGTTGGTTTTCTTTGTCAAATTTAACTCATTACTGTTATGAATATCTTTGGGTTTTGAACTGAAATGTGAAGATTTGAAGCCATTTTCACTATTTCCTTATATTTTAGACAAAATGATTAATCAGTTAATCAAGAAATCGATCAAGTTAATCAATACTAAAAATAATTATTAGTTGCAGCCCTACATTGAATTAAATCTTTTTTAGTATAATTAGTATAGTATAGTTTAAGTATTTAAATGACCAAATAACGTAAACTGCTGCAGACAGCAAGAGACTGTTCAATGCATTTAATCATTTTAATGGAGTTCCAGATCATTAATAGAGACTTAATCGTTCTTCTGCATTGAGCCAATTACATTTGAGAAAATGATATGGGAAGGCAAAGCTCCTTCATAGGGAGAGACGTAGAGAAAAAAGGGGTCAACCTTTTCTGCTGAAACACGTGCTTTATGGATTACTTCCTGTTTCAGTAATGAGAGTGTTTTTGTTTTGATGTCGTCAACCTTGCATTCCTGTAACAGTTGGCTGTTGTAGCTTATCTCCCGGTGCAGACAGAGTATTAAATCTTGATGTTACACAAGGTGATGGTGGAGCTATGAGTCACAAAAGACCGGTGAGCGGAAGGCCAATTGTAAACAAGCGTATTTGTTTTGGGAAGGGGATGATTTCAGGGAAACCAAACACTTGTCGTTTCTCTGAGACATTTCCGCAAGATCTGTTGCTCTGTCCTGAGCTGACACTGCTGAGGGAAACAACCCTGGAATACACAGTTGGCCTGAGGTCTCAGTGTTGTAAACTCTCTTCTCTTTTACTCCATTAAAGAGAGCAGACAAAACTTTGAAAGTATTTGAACATTTATAGTCCTACTAGTTCTTCTAAAAGCAGCACTGCAAATGTCTGCAAAATCATCAATAGATTATTTCTGTTTCCCTAACTGATGCCGTATATGATCATAATATTTTGGTCTGATAAGTGAATATTAAGGACTAAACACAGTTCACAACAGCCCAAACTTTTTCATGACTTTATCTTTCATTTGGACTGACTAAAGAAACGACCTCTATTCTGGAATAAAGCACAAAGCTTTCAGTTTTCTGAAAATTGACCAAACTGCTGAGGCCAGGCTCATAACTGTAAACAGAGAGAAAAGATTGCATTGTGCCATTTTAACCGCATTGCTATGGACCTAATTTCTTTTCAAAGGATAATTTATTGTCCTTTTCAAAAAAAAAAAACCATGAAAAGGCCAAAGCCAACAATTAATTGACCCAACTAACAAGTATTGCCTCTGTATCTCTGTATCTGAAACACGTCAACAAACCAAGTGCACCAAATGGAGACCCCAACAAATTCAGTTTGAGTTTGCTAAATGTGACAGTGCCCATATACTGTATATGTAACCCTTTCCTGGACATTTAAGCCTTCATTAGGAATGAATGGGCTTCGACTTGAGTGCTACAGACAGACTGGGGAAGTCACTCACTTCTCATTCACAACACAGTGCATGAAAATGAGTGGTGCACAATTTTGAGTGTAAACAGTTTGTGTCTGCCATAATACAAACTCTAGATAACTAATACTATACTAGGCTACCTGACACTATTGACACTAAATGTTACTGCCAACATTTTCTCATTCTTTCTTCTTAAAGCCATCAGCAGTATTTCATTTTAGAGTTCAAAGTTCACCTATGAAAATTACACATTTATTTACATTTCTTCTTTCTGTGATAATGGCAATTACATGGTTAAGCATTACAGTGAAAGTTACTCTGTGTTAAAGCTACTTTCATCCCCTTGACATGCTCCTTTCTTTTCGCTTTCCATCATTCTGTCCTGTATGTCTGAAGAGTTAAAATGATCACACGTCTCCGCACTAGAGAGTTCTTTTTTTTAACTCCACTATTCATTCAGCATGGCTGCAGGCCTGAGAACTTTGTGTGCTCACTTCACCGAGTTTAAACTACTGACAGTCCATTGCCAGTCTGTGATCACATGATAATTCCTGATACATGAATATATTCAAAAAGATGAATGAATAAAAGCTACAGCACAGTAACTGTTTCTCATGTTCCATAACTAAATGACTGAAAGTTCTTATTTAATTTGGTTTAGAGTGGTTGGTTTTGATTTCTTTATGGTGTGTTACCTTGGTTTATCATATGTATGTCTTAAATTAGTGTGTGACCAAATGTGTCCAAAAGATTGTTATTGATTACAATTATATACAAGTACATTGTTTTATTATTTGTAGTGTTAACCATATGACTATATTTATTTATCTAATCAGCTAAGTCCCATTTAGGTTGCAAGGGAGATGTGGCTGAGACAGCAGCATAAAAAGCTGAAGCTAAAACAATACAAAATAAAATAAAGTAAATAAAAAAGCAGGCCATAATATTGGAATAAGGCTACGAGTAAGCTAAGAACAGATGCATTATGTATGCTTATATGTACAGTGTGTATGTGTTAATATACATGTTAAAACATAAAATCATCTCACTGACTAGAGACAGCAGTGTAACAGTAATGGAAGACAGCAAGAATATATCCAGATGATATAAAAGTCGAAATTTAGGGATTTAAAATGTTGTAATATGTATATGCTGTATGTATGTCAACATAATACCGTAAAACGAAATAAATGCTAGTGTGACACAGAACGTTTTTAGGCCTCTGCACCCTGTTAGACAATCAGACGTGGTACCACAGCTGCCTATCTGCTGTAAGTAGAACGCTTTAATGTGCCGTGACCTCAGTAATAATGAAAGATTATCAAAGCAATTTCTCCCTCTCTGGCGTTACGCATGTTAACCATGACCCAAAATGAACCTGCAGCCAGGGTGTCACTCTGTTTGCTTATCAAGTGTCTCTACTGGGGACAGGACTGTTAGAAAATTGCTACAGTGGGTCACAACAGTGATGTCTGCTTCTCTTGACATTTATATTGCTAACATAACCCACCATGACCTATTAACTGATCTGTACTGCACTTGGATATCTGCCATTATGAATGTTGGAGCCAGGGTGCTCACTTTACCAGCCTAGAGGTCTACATTGTAGGACTATCACTGCAGACAAAAACTGAAGATGCCACTTTTATGACACCTAAATCCCACTGTTGGGTAATGTGAGTTGAAAAATAGCAGAACATATTGTAATTTTGTGCATATTAATAGGCTGGAAAGATATAGGTGTGAAAAAAAAGAAAAAACAAACACATCACAAATAGCCAAAAACGAACTGAGGATGCTGGTATACTGCCTTACATCCTAAAGGAATGTAACATTACACAAACTGACTTTGTTGTTCATGTAATGTGTTGGGGAAACAAAGGCGATACCGAGATTAATTCTTACTGATCCAGGTCAGAGACCAGTCTGCTCTCTCAAATCCCAAAGCATCTCCTGGGCTTGTGTATCTCAGTGTACTGCTGCCAAGCT